AATCTCTAGCGACTCCATGAGCTGTTTCTCTGCGCGCTGATCGATGGATGAATGGTCATCGACTTGCTCTGGCACAACATCGGGCCCTTCGGACTTCACAGTGGGTTGATGCTCCTCCGACATGACGACGTCCTGCTGCTGGTTGGATTTCCCATCTGCGGCTTGAGCATTTGAGGCTCGGCGTTGAGACCCTACGGCCTTTGTTTCAGGACTGAGAGTAGGCAGCGATATGCGAACTGAAGACCCAGGTCCGATCTCTGACGCGCCGACTTCTTCATCAGTGAGGCTTTGAAGTATCGACTTGCCAACATCGGCCCATGTAGGGCTAGCTGGTTTGATCTCATGACGAGAAGCCTTTAAGGCAAGAGGGTTCGTCGACGGATCTGTGTCCTGCAGATCCAACGGAAGAGGGGGAAGGTAGGGATACGGGTCTGCCTGGCGCTGTAGAAATTTGAGAAGGGCCTTTTTCGGCTTTTTCAAGGGTACTTGAGCCACAGACAACCTATCAAGCAGCGACCGCAGCACTTCACGCAGGCGCTCCTCGGCAAATGTTTCTTCCAACCCTAGCTGCTCTGTCCGAACCTCTAAGCGGTTGTCGTCATCTGCTAGTACACTTTCAAGGCAGTATCGTGTTAGTCTATAGCTTTGCAGAGCACTACAAAGTCTTGCGCTCTGTCTCCAGAGGTTCAGATCCGAGTCGTCACGTTCCAGGGCTTCTGCAAACGCCGTCAAAGCTGTGCTAGTTTTCTCTTTGACCTTGGTTCGGGGATCCCCAGAAAGTTTAGAAGATTCGGTGATACCCTGCAGAGATGCGTGTAACGCATCCAGGATATACTGTCCATGGTTCTTGTACGATAGGTATATGGTTTGCATCAGCGTGCTCGACGTAGAGTCACTGATGTCGAACTCCGCGAGCGCTTCTGTCGCACCCGCCACCACCGTGTCATCATACCGGGGTTCAGATTCCTGAGTGACTACTCTTTTATAATCAGAGATTGACTCGGGATATTTGAATATCTCAGAATCCAGCAGAGCATCATATGCCTCTTCGGCCTGCGCATAGAACTGTGGACCCTGGGAATGGAGCTTCAAGGCATTTTGGTACAGCTTAAGCGCCTCTTCAATTTGGATCTCCTTGGTGTCATCGACTTCTTCCTCAATAGCCTCATCGGGTTCAATATTCAAAGCTGCCCAGCTGGACATAATGCCGGTTTAATGACAGGGCGCAACGAGCTCCCTGATAGTGGTAGTAAAACCGGGCCGGCTATACCACATTTCAAAAGGAAAGACAAGCAACCCCGGGCTACCTGAGGAAAGGCCCAATCTGGGGAGGTGGTAATGACGTGGAGTGGAGATTGGGAAGATGAATGGAAGGAACGGAGAGTCTAGAATTGGAGACTCGATAAATGGAACTGGAGAAAGAGCCCGTGACAGACACGCGTTGCGCGGGCGGGAATTACCGAAAGAGGCAAAGGCGGTACCGGGGTACCTGACCCAGCAGTTGCCTGAGGAAGCGGCCAGGCATTCATCGATCGTCGCCATTCCGTTTGCTCTTGAACAACGACCTGCGCTTTCTGCTGCGCCTCATTGTCTTCAATTTCTCCCGGTCGTGAAAGCGCTTCGTGCTCCCTATACCCCTTGGTTTTCCCCTCTGTGACCATCCAGAGCCTCTGTCTGCGCTCCTGCCAGCGCCATGGTCGCGCCAGCTGTTCCCGAGTATGTCTTCCCCTCGTTTACGTGTTCTATCACTCGCTATCAATCGGCCAAATGGGCCCACTATCATTGACCTGCGACTGACCCCTGAGTGTTTCCCCAGGATCTATGAAGAGGAGGAGAACATCTACGCCGCTGTCGATGCCCGTTCCGAGTCCCTACAGAACCTCCGGGAATTAGGTCCCCCGGACTTGGTTTATCTGGTTAAACAACCCAAGACCAACGCCCATCACCAGGTACGTCGTCGGAAGTGCGGGCGCAGGCATACTTTGAGGATGAGGAGTGACAATGGCTAACTCAATTGGTTTGGGATCGAAATACAGACCGGCGTCTATCACCATGTCACCGGTGTCGATGCCTCTTCCTCCGCCAGTTTAGCCGCCTATGTAAATACGCTTACTTTCTCTCCGCTCGACAAGACACACAAGGTGGTTTCGGGAATCTATTGGTTAGAAACATCTTCGTCTGGAAGTGTTTATAGTTACGCAAATGTTAATAGACAAACAGCTGCTACAATGCCTTCTCCCACCTGGACATGCGCGTCGAAGTCAAAATCCCCGGCACTCTGGAAAGCTACTGCATCGATGAACGCGGAGATAAGCGAGTTGCGACGGAAGCCCTTTGGCTGGAGACATTTCTTTGCGGAATCCTGCGAGCCTACTCATACGCGGACAATGGTGGTGGCGATGCGATCAGAAAAATAGTCGGGGTGCGTCGGTTCAACCCGGTCACAAATACGGAGATGGAGCACAAATTCCTGGATGCTGCGGAGAGACTATTCTTCTTAGGTGCGCTTCCACAGTTGACTCCCAACGGACCCAATGCTGATACCACATACAGGAAGACAGCTCAGTTCTGATCCGGAAACACAAGTGCCGAATACCGTCAGCAACCACCTGACGTCCGGTCTTCTGAAGTATATTCAAACAACGGGGCGCTACACTTCCGGCATCAACCTTTTCGAGAAACTTCGCACACGAGATGTAGAGGTCTCGTCACTTCTTGCCCGAGTTCTCATCATGGCAGACGAAGAGGTGCAAGCCGTGCGATTGATGTTCGACGCTTTACAAGACGTTCCCATGGATTATGCCTTGCTTGACTGCCAGGCTAATTTCTGCCAGGGCAAGAACGAGGGTGAGATGGCTCTAGAGTGTGCGAAGCGGGCAGTGACTGCTGCTCCAAGCGAGTTCAGCACCTGGGCACGATTGGCAGAGGTCTACGTTGGCCTCGAGCAATGGGATCTGGCCCTCCTGACCTTGAACTCCTGCCCCATGTTCACGTACCAGGATAAGGACACACCTCGTATGCCCCAACCATCTCGCATCATGCTCCCAATTCTTGCTGAGAGCATGCTGGACGAAATCGACGAAGGACAGCCCAAGCAGGGTGATCCCCACGATTACGTCCACCCCTCACTACGCAGACTCCACGCTGCTGCCTATCAGGGAACCTTCCTGAAGGCGTACAATCTCCTCACCAAGATTGCTGCCGCGATAGGCTGGGACCAACTCCTAAAAATCCGCAGCGAAGTCTTTGTCATGGAAGAAGAATACCGTGTTGAGCGCCAGCAGTCTACGTCTAAGCCTACAACCACACCATCCTCAGCAAGCGTATCAGACGAGCCGAATGGAAGCAGCGAGCAGGAGAACGGCACGTCTGAGGAGGGCGCGAACGGTACCAAGGAAGAAGAAACAGAGCACTCCATTGAGAAACCAGAGCAGTCGATGGCATCGGAAGTTGTCAAATCCGGCAGCGAAGATGTAAGTCTACATCCCACCTTCAATAAAACCACCCAAGTCCATACTAATGCGTCGTGTTACTAGCCTGACCCCTCACACTCATCCTACACACAATTCCGCAACAAGCGTCTGTGTGAAAGATGGCTCGATAACCTCTTCATGGTGCTGTACGAAGACCTCCGCATCTACACCATCTGGCGCACCGAAATGGCCCAATACCGCCAACAGGCGATCGAGTACAAGAAATCCGCCACGGAATGGGAAATTCTCGGCGAGTTGGCCGAACGCCTGCACCATTTCGACGAGGGCATCGAAGCCTATCAGCACTGCCTAGCCATCCGCTTCTCCCCGAAAGCCATGCGGGGGCTTCTCAAGTTGTACGAGAAGAAGAATGACACGAGAGGAATGCTAGGCGCCTTGATCCGTCTTATCGCATGGCAGTATCGCTGGTACTCCGAGGTATGTGCCACATTCCCCTTGTTCTCAGCGATGAAAATGAAATTAACAATACACTCTTCTCTTATATAGTTCTCTCCCGACCTCCTATACCTGATCCGCAAACTCATCGAAGACGAAGGCGCCGTCAAAGTCCGGAGTATAGTCCAAGCGACGAACCTTCCTCAACCTGTCCTCGATCTGACCCATCAGTACTGCCAACTGTGCGCCACATTCCGCAGCAGCGGTAGTGATGGTTAAATCTTCAACCTAGGATAGATTACGCTACCTTGCCTTTACAAAGAAGGTAGTGTATAATCACCCTGTCTTCCATCCTTTTCTTCTTCCTACCCCTCCCTATGGTTTATGATATAGAAGATACCTAAGAAACAAGGAAAGAGGCGGGAGAGGACAGACAGTTGAAATGAAGAATGAGAGGAAATTGTATCTATTAGAGAGGGAGGTGAAATTCAAGGGATATGAAAGCGTTGAGGGAAAAGAGAACTTACTTTCTTTCCTACTACTACTTACTTACTACTTACATTCTGTATGGACTTGTTGATCGATATCACCTATTGTTCGATTGTGATGCGCTTTCTACTTACTTCATTTTCCTTCGTGTGATTTTATTTTAATTCTATTTTTATTCTTGACTTTATTCTGTCTTTTATGATTTGTTTTTTTAGTATACCTGATTTTTCTCCTATTAATACCCAGATTACAGTTAAAATTGAGGATGTGATTGAACTGCGCAAAAGAGGCTGTGCTCCGTCTGATAGGTTGATTCGGTTGCCCTAGTAGCTATCTGTCCAGATGGATAAATAGTATTAGTATCTAGCTGGAAGTCCCGGCTAAGCCGCCGTGCGGAGTAGCCATCATGCGCTTCTCCAAAGATAGTTCCGACTCCTCCGTACCCCCCATCTCTACTTTGCTTAGGCTGTGGTTACAGCTACATAAAGATAATAACAATGGCTTCGCCTGGTCTTCAGGATATAGGAGCATGTGCATTAGATACTATATCCGCGCAAATGATCATAGAATTATCAATAAAATATTGCCAGCGCGACAGCAGTCAATACTGGCGGGTCATTATCACGCCATGCTGAAAGGTCTTCACTCCTCCTCTGCAGCAGCATCGGCCTCGGCTTCCTTAGGTACATCGCCAGCCTTGGCCTTGCTAGCAGCGGCGGCAGGGGCACTGGTCTTTGCTGTCTCTTCAGGAGCTTCCTCGACATCTTCCTCGCCTTCCGGTGCTTCCTCCTCTTCCTCATCAACGCCGTTCTCATCTTCACCGTTTTCAGCTTCGCCATTTTCCTTGCCCTCTTCTTCTTCCTCCTCTTGTTCGGGCGCCGGAGCTGTCTTTCGCTTCTTGGAAGCCGGAGGAGCTGCTAAGAGGAGAATACTCGTTAGTAAGAGATACGTAGCATGATTGGAGACTAGAAGAATGAACTCACCTTGTTCCTCTGGTTCCTCTTCGCCCTCCTCTTCTTCTTCAAGCTCCTCTTCTTCGCTTCCCTCTTCCTCTCCTTCCTCGCTCTCGGCTACTTCGGAGTCCTCATATCTGGAGTAGTACCAAATCAGCCATTGTATCCATGAAATGTAAATGCGAATAGTAAATGAGGTTCAACTGGTTGGTGCCAGCAAGCAGAGGGTAATGCGACTGAATGCCACCAACAAGCGCCAATGAGTGATGCGCGCAGAGAGGGCACCCCAAAGTGAAATAAGAGCAGAGCAGATAGCTGAACCAGCAGGGGTAATGAAAGGAATGCGCTCAAGTTCGCGAACAACCTGGCAACAGGCAATGCAGTAAGCCACTTACTCTTCTTCTTCCTCGCTCTCGTCGCTAGGGAGCGCTTGGAGCTCTTCCTCCTCCTCAGCCTCTTGCTTTCTCTTACGGGTGGACATAGCTCAGAGCGCGTTAGGCGCTTAGGGATAGAGAGAGATTAAGAGTGTGTATTAAGGGAATAAAGGAGTAGGCCAGTTCAATGGCGCAAGTATACAGATGTCAAGAGAGTCCCAGGCCAGGAAGGCGCAATGCAGGGACAGTAAGAGTAAAGCGAAAGGGGAATGAACGGGCTAGTGAGAGGGGAAGAAACGGGAGAAGGATGAGGGAGAGAGGGAGAGAGAGAGAGAAGAGGGAAAGAGAGGGAGGGAGGGAGGAGGGAGAATTAAAGGGCAGGGCAAGGCAAGGCAGGCAGGAGGAACTCGGTAGTGGACGAGCAGCAGAACAGCAGCAGCCTTTCCCCCAGCACATGAGGGAAGGGGGGAGGGACGGAATGGGTGAGCATTACTTCAGCGACGGAGAGAGTCAGCAGTAACCCTCCCTCCCCAAGCATGGATGGGCACTGCCTGGCGCAAAGAAAAAGCGCGCAGTGGCAGTCAAGAGGGTTGGAGCTAGACAGAAGAAGAAACGAGAGCTGGAGTTGCGCCGGCTCGTTCCCCCCCAAACTGCTTGTCGCGGGCGGCCGTCGACATAAGCCACCACAGGCCGTGGGCTTTAGAGTCGCCCGAGGGGTGGACAAGAGGGGCGGGTGCGTGTACCACCCACACAACTTCGCGTTGATGATGCTCGGTTTTCCCTCAGCTCACCATGGATTGAAACAGCCCCGGGTGAGGATGATCCGTTGGGTCTGAGGCGGAGTTGATCCATCCATGACGATGACTATCCGGACCGCGTTGCATGACAAGAGAGAGAGAGTGTGTGTGTGGATGGATCGGAGAATCCACACTGGAGAAAAAGGCCGAGATGGAGAGAAACGGATGGATGGGTGAGAAAGACAAAGATCCGAAAAGGAAGAGAAGAGAAGTGAGCACAAGGTATGGTAAGTAAAGTAGATATTACATGAGAAATACCGTGCCTGGCGAGATACAAGCACAAGCAAGCAGCAGGATGGGGAAAGACGCGCACAGACACTCCGGGGCAAAAGGGGGATGTTTTTGGATGTTTCTGGTGTTTCTGATGTTTTGTGACAGGTACAATGATACCCCAAGGCAGTGTGCACATAAACCATCTGTGGCCGTGGCAGCAAGAAGTAAAGGACGGCCCGGACACCAGAAGCAGCAATAATCATGATGTCAGGATTGAAATCCTGCGCGTATCGATACCCCCCGTACATAAATATCTGTTTCAAAACATGCTGCAATCTTACCAGTTACTCCGTACTTCATGCAAGCAGGCTAAACGCAATGCGGAAGTTCTTCTGGAAAAGCACAGACCAAGATTGATTGATCCCCCCACAGCGGCACTGATGCTTCCCCAATTCATTCATCATAACCTGCAATCTTACATGCGACATGCAAATTACCCGATGTCCAGCCCCCAGTCACCATTTACTGCAACTACTGCAACATCATATGCAAAACAGACATACATTAGCAGCCTAAACAAATAGCACTCTAAACCCTAACTATATCCTCTATTTCACCGGCGGCCACACATAATCCCCCCAAGGCCTCCCCGCCTCCCTCCTCGCCAAATCCCTCAGCGTCTCCCACTTCCACAACCTCTCCCCGGGATTAACCAACTCACGATCATCCCCCAACCCACCACCACCATCCCTAGCAGTATGCATAATCTTGCCCTCACCCATCAAAAACCTCAAATACGGCGCCGGATCCCACGACTCCTTCATCCCCTCCAACACCTCCCTCTTATACCCCTCCAACCCAACCTCCACCACCTCAATCTCACCACCACCAAACTCCCCCATAATCTCCGCAATCTCCTTAGCACTCCTACTATCCCCAGCAACATGCACCATCTCCGGCACCTCATCCTTCCCCAAACTCGCCAACGCAGCCACACACCTCCCCACATCCTCCAGTGAAGTAAACGACACTTTCACCTCACTACTCCCAACACACTCATACCGACCACGCTTCGTATCGAACCCAAACCACGGGCCAATACTATCCTCCAGGAACAACCCACAGAAGACACGACAGATCTTCACCTTCTTCGGGCTTGGGTCTTGGGTAGTAAGTAGTAGTAACTGCTCCGCCAGCGCCATGTGTTTCTTCTTCGCGTCCCATTCTCGATGCGGGAAGTCGTGCACGTAGTGATTCACCCCGAATTCGGAGGGGAAGTACACCTGGATGGAGGATTGGGGGATGGCGTGGAGGAGTTTCTCCTTGAAGGAGTGGCCGGAGGGGCCGATGGTGTTGATGAGGATGGTAGCGCCGTGGAGGGCGCGGGTGATGCTGGGGATGGAATCTTCGGTGTAGGTGCGGATGATGAGTTTGGGGCTGTCGGAGGTGGGTAGGTCTGTTGGTGGTGTATGATGGCTACCTTGTCGCGAAAGGAGGATGATTTCCGAAAAGCGGTTGCGTAGGTTGGAGGTGAGGAAGGCTGAGGCGACGTGCTTGCCTAGGTGGCCGGTTGCGCCGGCGATGGCTACGATTGGGAGGGTGGTAGACTGGGGAGATGCCATTTTGTATACTGTAGGAATGAGTAGTGTTGTTGGGATGTGAGATGGATTGGAAGTATGAAGGCTAGAGCGGGATGCTCTGCTTTATGCTTTATACTTCATCTATGGTAGACCAAGAAATTTGTAGGACTGGGTACTGAATGTTTGCATTCCTTCTCATCTTTCCTCAATCGGAGATATACATGCATCAGATGGATGAATATCGTGCTCAATGGGGTGTAGAACGAGCTGCAACACCATCGCTCTACGTCACTGGCAAACAGGACAAACTGAAATCAAATGCGATTATTGGTGGATTGTGATCAGGAGGAGCTGTTTGTATTCATTGCAAACTAGTCAAACATTTGCTTTGAACAGTAGACATGGAGGTGTGCTCTCAATCTATTACCTGGATCCGTTTACCTGTCCCATGTGAAAAGGGGAAGTTTTTGCATTGATTGTGTGTATTTATATATGTTTATGCATCCCCAAAGATCTATCGAATAGATGACACAGTCAATATCATTGTACAGATATAGAGGACGTGTACTCCCTACGTCTACAAATCCGGCTCACTTTAACAGAGACTTTTGTGTCGAACCCTTCATAAAGAGGGAAATTATTCGTTACTGAATATAATCTAATTGCCAAATATACTATGCCTAAAATTCCATAACCCATAGTCCCACACTCATCCCTCATATATGCTACTACTGACATCTTCAACAGTCGCACTCCTAGAAACTAGATAAGGTTAGTAATGATCCTGCAAATTATATCAAAACATTTACTCACTTGGTCCAAATCGCTGAGTCCTATGAATGAGCGATGTCGAATGTCCGTGCTCATCATCCATCCAACCATCATCTGATCTAGCTGTGTCGAAGCTGCTGTCGGTGGTATACTTGTCATCATCACTATCGCTTTCCCCAGATCCTGTGTACGTGCGCCCTGGTCGTTGCAGAGGGGATAGTGACTTGGATTGCCCATGTTTTTCGTCACTCAAACTCTCAAATGGATCGGGGGTTCGGGTATCCTGTTTCGGTGTAGGAACATCTGTGATACTGCGTTGTCGTCTTCCAGGATCGTGAGGCTTTCCAGTCCTTGAGGGCGCAAGGTAGGCCTTATCCAGGCCGAGCGCCTCCAACCGATCTTTTATGTACTGCGGGAGGTAGGTAGAGAAGCCCTCCTTAGTGTCTTGGAAAGCTTCTTCCGAACGCGATAGATCTTCGGCAAGGCGTTGTGCAATAGCCCGTTCGATGACGATTGCACACCAGTCACTCAGAGAATAGATAGATTTCGAGGATCGCTTTGATTCCCGTATCTCCTTCAGGTCATCTAAAAGGAGTTTACAATTTTGATCAGAATCCACAAGAAGAAACCGTGACAGAAACGTCTGCTGATAGCCGAGAAAATCCCCCTGGGTGGACTTCTGGAGATCGGATAGCCGAGTTAACCTTTCGCTCGTGTTTACCGAGCGATAGATTAGCTCACCTAAGCATAAAACCTCAGTTCTGTAGTCATTCAGGTCCTGTGCCGTCTGAAGAACGGTTTCAAGAAGATCATAGTTTCGTCCCCCGTCTAAGTGTGCCGTCCACTTTGGGTTCTCCGTCTTGATAGGAAGATAAATGGGAATAGAACTCCTCCATATTGTGAGGCCTGGAAATTTTTCAAGGTGGTCTCGCAGATCTGAGGTATTGAGTAGAAGCTTCCTCTCCATTTCCGCTTCAGCAATAACCCACTGTAGGTAAGGACGAGATTTTACCAGCTGGGGGTTGTTCTCTTTGAGGCATGTTGCAAGGGCTTGCGCATATTGGAGGCATCGTTGAGCAGTGAGCAAGTCCTGTCTCTCTGGTATCGAAATAGACCATGATGACAAACTGCGACCCAGAGATACTAGAATATCCAAAATGGCCAGATATGTTGACTCATCATACCGATGCAAACACCAGTCGTCCATCAGCTTGCGGAACGGCTCATTGGAAGAACCAAGTTCTGCTCCGAATATCAGATTCCAAGCATTTACTGCACCTTCCGCTTGGATAGAAGCGAGCATTAGGTCTCGCGCATCCCATACTCGCCCCTCAGCCACGAGAGCACTGTACAAATAGTGCCAATTAGACCAGAAATTGAATTCATGTTCTGGGATCAGATCGGTTTCTCGCTCAACTTGCGATAGAATCAAGAGAGCATAACGGATAACTTGTACCTGTCTATACTCTTAGTATTTGCTCTTTTCACGGGAACTTCTTTGGCACACTCTTACTTCAGCCGAGTCCAGGTCAAGAGTCGGGTCTTTCCTTCTTCGTCGCCTTAAGGAACGCATCTGGCGCTCCAAAGATCGGACCGTTCCATATGCCTCATCCAGAGATCCGTGAGACTGCATGAACGCGAAATCCCGTAAGAGGTGCAAGTTCGCTTGGTACAGGAATTTGGCAGGGTTACCCTCCTGCAGGCTTGAGATGCCGTCAGAGGTACTTAGCTCCTGCTGTTGGTGCTGCGACAGAACGCGATGTAAACGCCTATATGAACCCTGTTCGACTAGCATGTCTGCGAACTCAATCGTAACTGGCGATAGTTCCATGAAAGCACTTAAAGAACCTTGAAAGTATTGTTCCGCTTCCTCGAAATTGCCTAGTCTTTTTAGTCGTGAGAATTCCTCTAATAAACTTCCCACGTCCTCCACAATGTCCATCTCATAATGTATGGTCGTATCTTGTGTTGATGAAAGAGTCCAGATGGTAGACTTATCATTTTGTGATTCATCCTGTGATACCGGCAGTACCATAGGGAAGGTATCTGGTGAAGGTATCACATTATCGTTGTTATGAGCTGCAGCATTACGACCGACAATTGCTTCTCCAGAGTCAATGGGCTCCGCACGGAAGAAATGAGAATTTCTTTCAGGAACAGCGAGGGTACCGTGCGCACTCTCATGAACCGCTCGCTCATCCCAAGAAAAGCGGTTGAAGATGTCTTTTCGATCCTCAGATCGTCTTCCTCGAGCCAAGGAGGGCCTTTCCCGAATGTCGTACATTTTGAAAGAGTGCTTGTTGACGAAGCAATAGCGCGGCAACAGCAATCTGTAGGAGGCCCACGAGTAATTTAGATCAGTTTGTATTTGAGGAGCTAATTCAGCCTCGTCTTGAGTGTCTGCATTAGCGCCTCCCTCTGAATGGTTTGTCCGGTGGCAGTGCCAGGCGGCACCCAACAACCCGCTAACTGGCTGTAAGCTCCCTTACTATTTAATCGATGCTGACGGTCGCGGGTGTTGGGGATTTGGTATTCTGCTTTCATCACCCAAATTATGTCGGGGACCATCCAAACTTCTTCAACCACCGCCGGTCGGGACTCGCAGCCGACTTACGCGCGGCGATATGGTCGGAAATATCTCGAGCTTGACAATCTTCAGGACTCCAGCGTGTGCCACCGCAAAGTCGGCAAAGCACGCGCTGACTGCCGACTTCGGACATCCCAGTCGAAATGGGGATGCTTGGGCGAGGCATCGAGACCTGCGGGCATTGTTTACATGGATCTCTCGTTCGATCAGCCCGCAGACTGTAGGTTACTGAGTGCCACGGTCAAAATCACTTTGCAAGGCGCGCCCCAGCACCAGCTAGATCTGGATAAGCCTATACGCCTCCATCTGACCGATCACTACGGGCCAAAACATCTCAGCGGAGAACCAAAGAATGTGGTCAAGAAAAAGATATTGCACCTTGCGCCTCAAGTCAATGTACTCGGAAACGGCGGCGGTGGTATCGGTGTCGATAGCGAGAAGTCGATTACTTATGATAGCCGGTGGACATTCACAGGTAACCTGCGCCCTGCGCAAAAGACCGATTCAGAATATCGCACCATAAAGTGGGAGTTACGCGAGGAGGACCCTGAGTCTCAATCAATCCATAGCAATATGATCCACACTGCCTTTGCTTTCCAGCATGAGGGGAGGCCCTTCCTCATGCGGGTTCAGATCAAAGGAAAACTACAGAAGGGCAGGAACCGCTTCAAAGAAAAGGCTCGTCAGTTGAGATTCCCATCCCGTCATGAAAGTGACGAGGGATCCAGTGATATTCTGGTGTATCCAAATGTTGTGACGCAGCCTTCAGGCCCTCGTCTAGATCGTCTTGTACAGGATCTTCCCATGGTTATGGAAAGAGAGAATTGCCTTCGCATTCCGGTGCAGATCCCTGCCGCATTGCCGGTATCGTTCGCAGAGAGTAATGAGAATATCCCCGACACTGCACAGAGCATGCTTGAAGACTCATATTTAGGGAGTCTACCGGGCCTTTTGCCCAATCCAGGGGGTTCCGGGCACCATACCGAGACAGCGCGGTCATCCGGCTCTAACTCGGTTTCTTCCTCGGAAACATTGGTAGACTTTGGGAAATCCTGCGACGCAGGTGATCCAGGAGATGTGTGCATTTCAAAGCTTGGACATGCTGTGCACACCTTTCGAACACCACAAGCTGTTGGCCAAGACGAGTCACAGGCATCCAGAATTGTACTGCACGCAAATTCCAGTTCGATGGCTCCAGCGAAACTGATCGTACCAGCTGAACAGAGGAATGGTGACAAAGAGAGCAAAAATATCGACAGCCCTGAATATACGCTGATTCTTTTATCGCGCTATCCGTTATTGATGACCTTAATCCAGATCCTGGCTGCCCTCCTGGATTTCTTTGGGATGGCAACGAAGTCCACACAGTTGGCGAATCGGGATGCCAACAAGAAGCTCAGCGAGAAGGTCATGGCATATAGCAGTTGAAGAGGTACATTTTGAAGACTGTATGACATTCGATGACAAAAGAGGTGGCGGTGACTTGACAACAACTTCTCTCTAAAAGCCCGTAGAACATGTAGAGAAGCCCGGGTGGTGACCAAGGCTAGTGATCAGTATCTTCTAGGTCTGATTCGATGCAGACATGCATGTCAGCGCTAAGGATACTATCGTGACATTCCCAACTACCTGAGTAACATCTGATTGGCACAATTGCGCGAGGTTGGATAGGCCAATTCTGCGGTACAGCCACTCTGCCCGCAATAGTTCCAGCAAGGCTAGGCAAAAGACCCGTGCAAGTGTCGGGCTGCTTGTCTGTGCGGCGCTGGGCGCCAAATCGCCCGCCTGGGGGTATTCTGCTCTCGAGTTCCCAGCAACACAGCAACTCTGTAGGTTACGAACAACTGCCGTACAGCTCGCATCAACATGAGTTTTGTTCCGAGTGACCGGGTCGTCGAGACGATTCCCATGTCGAGAAGGGGGCAACCCAAGGACAGAAAGCCTGTCCAAGATGGTCGACAAAACCCCGCTGTAGGAGCCATTCCGCCTTTCTCGATTTATGAACCTTCCTCAGAACCACGATCGGCTCGAAGGCGCCGGTCTTATGAGAGGCTGCGTCCAGAAGTCAGGGTGTCCTCACATACAGAATCAGATTCTGATCTCCCATATCGTCATCAACGGCCCCGAGCAACAGGCATCTATCACAACCCATCGTTACCTCGTCGACGTCCAAAAGTTACCTTGGTCGATCTGCACTCGTCTGACACGAAGCAGGACCGTGAAATCCGCAGACAGCAAAATGAGATAGACCGGCTGGAGGAAGACTTGCGTCTTCATAAACTCAAAATGGACATAGAGAGTGATCGAGAGTTCGAAAACAAGATTTCGGAGCGATTAAAGAGACTGGATGAGATGGAAAGAGAAGAGGAGCGAACAAACCTGAAGAGAGCCGAAAGACGAGCCGAGGAGCAATCCAAGAGGAAAGAAGAAATTAAAGCTGCGTTACGCGAAAAGGAATGGAAAGAGATGAAGAAGAAGAAAGAAGAGGAGGGACTGCGGGCCCGGATTAGGAAAGAGCTGCACGACGAAGAGATTCAACGGAAATTCGAAGAACGCGAACGTTTCATTCACGAGAACAAGATTCGGCGCGCTGCTATTGAAGACTATAAGTTGGCGGAAGAGCAGCGCCTTCTTGAGGAGGAGAGGCAGAAGAGGCAGCTGAAAAAGGAGTATAGAGCAGCCATTGAAGCGGAGCTCGGGTATTCCCTCGAGCAGGTGAAAGATATTCTCACCAAGGCGACAGGCAAGAAAGCCCAGAGACAGAGTCGGGGGCGTAGCCAAGCATTTTCTGCAACTGTTCATGATGTCTCTAGTGGCGACGAGGCAGATGTGGAAGCACCTTGATTTGGCCGGAAGGTGGTCTCCTATAGTCCTCTATCTATATTAAGTAATCCAGATTACGATGTACTGTGACCTCAATAGTCTAACTCTTACAGCCCATAATATCAGGGCATGGCTCATTGTGCTAAGAATTCAAAACTAGCCATGCTAGGATCTAGGAGATTTTCATCTAACCCAAACCCGTATGTACCAACCATATCATAGATCAAATCAGGTGGGGGAAACCCCTGGGCCATGGCATTCGCACCCCCAGGAACATCACTACTACCTGCTCGCTCAACACCCCCAGATGCTACCACAGGTGCCCCTCCTGCTTGCCATGCGTCCCAAGAGTCGAAGCGCTCCAACATCTTACCAAGGCCCCGGGCAATATGTCTCGTCAGATGTCTCTCCCCTGCAGAGACACAGTTCAACAGCTCAATCACCCTCTCGACCAGACGTCGCACCTGGCGGCCGTCGAGACTGAGATACGCAGAGTTCCAGTTTATTGCAACTTTCAAGAGGAACACGGCGGAGAATGTGACCATCGTGTGGGTGAAAATCGGAACTCCAACAATGGCGTCGCGAATATCTGGCTCTTCCAATACCATATTCAAACAAGCCATGGCAGACGAGATGGCAATATTAGCCGACTCTTTGCGGTCCATAGAAAACACCGGGGTGTTAGTCGGAGACAAGGCTCGCAGCGAGAGTGAGTTGAGTTGAAATTTGGCAAAGTGGTAGTGAAGCACAACCCCTTTCGAGGGATATGTTCGGACATAAGGGCTATCGGCTGCAGGTCAAAGTCACGACAGTTAGTCTTTCGTAATGATTTCAATCCAAGCAGGTCTTGTAAAGCACGTACCAGATCGGGGTTGCCACAATAGCCGCCATTGGTCTATAGCAACATTGTAGACGCGTAACTGCCCAAAGTCCTCTTCGGTAAGGGCTTGCTCTGTGTCGGTCCCGAATGTTCGATACGCTTCGGTCAGGATCATAAACAAGGCAACTTGTGCTAGTAGCCTAATGTCTCCGGGTACTACCATTGGTGACTGGAGAAAAGATTCGTAGTTTTTGATTGCTGCATCCTCATGGATGACTGGTGGACGCCCGTAGGCGATGCTGAAATGATGGTCACACACATACAGAAGATACCAGAGCTGAGCGCGTTCATACTGATCATTATGACCACGCATTAGCTTATGATAGCTTTGATGAAGACCCAATTCCGTTGCGATTCGGACCGCATGCCCAGAAAGTTTCCAACTTAGTTCGGATAACCAGAACGCTCCGACGCAGAGAGCGCGAATGTCATCAAGTGTATGAGCCCTTGTCAATGACATGCTCGACACAAGCGATACATACTCATTGTAGCAACGGTTGAGTGTCTCGGCTCGATTCGGTATATGGAGGGCAGCGACAGTTAGAACAGCTGCTGACAGTAACGTCGATGCTCGCCGAACAGACGTGAGATCACGGTGCACTAAGACTATCCCTCCCCAGAGAAGCTGGTTCATAGTCCTGCTAAAGTAGGCAAACAGCTCTTCGGCTTCATGAAGCGAGATCAGCCCTCTGGAGATGAAGTCCTCCTCCAGAAGCGTCAGCTTCGGCTGTTCTATGGGGTTGTTCCGCAAATTGCGGAGCTTCGTGACCTCGTATAAACTGCGCATTGGTGCTGGTACTAGCTCTCGGTCCTGTAAGTCTGGTTCTTGGGAAGGCTCTCGGGTCACATCCATAACAATACCCGGCTCTCGGGGTTTGACATCAGTGGGTGATGCCTCGGATGAGAAGCGACGCTCTGACTGAGAGCCGACAGGACTGGGGCCGTTGTGGCTGTCACCAGAGATGAAGGTCGATAGATCTGGCAGACCTCCTTGTTGTAGAAGATGCGAGACTGCCGCCTGAAGTTGTTGTATCGTAGCCGATGCTTGTGATTTCCACCTGTACCCAGCGTAGAAGAGTCGGAATTAGCTCTTATACTCCGCATTTCCTGCAGGGGAGCCCCAAATATAGCAAAAGACTCACATCACATCATCGTCGACGAACTTCTGGGAGAAGTCATTGACCACACATTTGATGCCGCTGCGAATGCATTTGGTGCAGCTCGCCTCTCCTGATTTAAACTCGCAGCGTATTTTATGACGCTTACACTCTGCGCCTATATATCCAAAGCATCAGCTTCATACTTCTAGTTACATCAAGCCCAAGCACACCTTGAAGCTAATTGCTTGGGCCTCGGTTGCAGTTCGGCCTTTTGAGTACTCACAAGCGCGGGCCTTGGAGATCTTGGGTGGCGCAGGGCGTCCGTCAGGAACGAGAGAGGGTCGACGTTCATGTGGCCGTGGGGCCTCCAAGTCGGCATCTTGCGAGGAGCGCTTCATGGTTGCTCGATCATGGACTAAGAACTGATCGGGGATGCTCCGGTATTCTGCAGCCAATATGGGATTGACAATAGTGGGGACGGACCAAGTCCAATAGATTAATGTCAAGCTAGCCAGATAGTGTTGCTTTGTCTGTTCAAACTAGTTGCGGCGGAACAACCAATATCCACTGAAGGGTCCAGAGGGAGGCAGAGATGCGAGGGAAGAAAACTTCAACGATGAGGGAGAAGAGTGAGTGGGATGGAGACAGACAAATCTGGCGATGGCGGCATACCCCGCTTCAATTGGCGCCGTTGGGGATTTCCAAGACACGAGCATTTCTTCCCCATTGTCATTGCGAACCCGATCCATAAGATATTCAATTCCCTCAATTCTACAAATAGGTATCCTCTATACTATTTACACTTTCTAATATCTGCATACATACAGCAAATCCAACTGGACGAACTGCAAACTACTTCAGGTCTCAATGTTTTCTCTCCAGACCAGCAACAGGCACGGGATCTGGGGAATGCGGGGCACCGCCAGTCGGTATCCACGGCTCAATTGCCCCCGACCGTCTCAGTCCCTATTATCGCTGTTGCGCACAATGGCAGGATGAAAAGACCGAGAGAGATCTCAATTATTCTATCATCCAAGTATGCTGATGTCTTGTATTCCACAGAATGCATCAACCAATTCTATCCAGCTCCACTCACCACTTACCCGCGCCAAAACTTTTGCGACACGCAACCACAAGGCACATCGAGGGGTAACATTAAGAATACCCACTCTCTCAAATCTCTTTCGAGTACAATCAAACATATCCCAGAAGAAGCTGCAGATCCTCCGAGAAGAGCTAAACAGTTCCTGAGCAAAACGTCATGGACTGGAATTTGCGCCGGGAAAAGTCCGGCTGCGGAGCACAAGCTATATTCTACCCTCGGAGTTAATGCGAGACGATCCCACAATGACGACCGCTAGCTAGCTGAGCATATTACTGATAGTGTCTACTTGATAGTGCCTTAACAAACACCCAATTCCCACACCTTCCTCCCTCCCCAACCACTAATCCCCTCAATTGACCCTCCAAGATGCAAATCCTCATCACCGGAGCAGCCGGCTTCATCGGCCAACTCCTCGCAAAAGAACTCCTCAACGACCCATCATACACCGTCACACTAACCGATATCAACGAACCCCCTATCCCCACAGGCGTCGCATACCCCCAAAATGCACGTTCAGTGACAACAGACCTCCTGAAAGGCGCAGACGCAGTCGTGGACAAATCCCTCGACGCCGTCTACGCCTTCCACGGAATCATGTCATCCGGCTCAGAAGCCAATTTCGATCTAGGCATGAGCGTCAACGTAGACGCCACCCGGAACCTGCTTGAGGCTCTCCGGAGAACCTGTCCCGGCGTACGGGTGATTTATTCTTCAAGTCAGGCTGTATATGGCCAGCCACTCCCCGAAGTAGTGAACGACAGTGTCATCCCGACGCCGCAGTCGTCCTACGGTGCCGAGAAGATCATCTGTGAGACTCTCATCAATGAGTACACCCGTCGTGGCTTCATCACGGGCTTTACGCTTCGGTTCCCCACTATTTCTGTCCGGCCTGGTCGTCCGACAGCTGCTGCTTCGTCATTTCTCTCTGGGATGATCCGCGAGCCGCTCGACGGCAAGGAGTGTGTCATTCCGCTGGAGGATAGGTCGTTCAAGTCTTGGTTGTGCTCGCCCAAAACTCTGGTTCATAATCTTGTTCATACGTTATCGTTGTCCAAGGGTGCGTTGCCTCCTCATATTCGACAGATTAATGTCCCTGGTATTTGTGTCACTATTCAGGATATGATGGATGCTTTGGAGAAGGTTGCAGGGAAGGATAAGCTCGATCTGTTAACGGAGAAGGAGGATCCGACCCTCAGGCCGATCTTGGAGTCTTGGCCTACTCGCTTCGATAACTCTCAGGCTATTTCTTTGGGCTTCAAGCGAGATTCTTCGTTTGAGCAAGCAGTAAGAGATTATCAATTGGAGATAGGACAGCAATGAACACTAGTGCTCCACATTCTGTACTTTGCCCACGATGTTTTCTTCATGGATGATTAGACATATAGGTAGGATTCCAATTTCATACAATGATACCAGTACAAAAAATATTACTACATAACTCCCATTATGACCATAGCTTCATTCCCCCATATGCACAAATTCCTAAACCATCATACCAATTACCACCTCAACAAAGCTCGACCTCACTATTTCCAAACCTGAAAAACACCTTAGCAAGCATCCAAACCAAGATCAATAACTTTCCCAAACCTGTCCATCAATAGCAACCAGCCGATTAAACAACTGATTGCGAGTCTTCATAGCTGTAAGCTGATACTTCTGCTCCGGCAACCTCCCCGTAAGCACCATTCCATCCACCACCTCCTTACTCTCACCCACAGCCCAGCCCGTGACCAACTTCCCCTTCCACCCAAGTCCACCAATCTTCCTCATCTCCAGAATATCCGTCACAGGCATCGTGAACAGCACTGTGCCTTTCGGCCGATGTTCCAGACTAGGCTTATCCAACTGCACGGTCTGGTCCGTCGTGAAGTAAAGCAGCGGTGGCTTCTGGGACTGGTCGAGCACCACGACGCCCCGCTTCCCTTTGTATCGC